CATGCCCCCTGGGCCACCCATCGCCTCAGGTTCTTCCTTTGCAAACTGGGGATCAGAACTCCTGTCCTTCAGACTTGGTGACATTCGGAGGTTCCGACATGATTGTGGATGGATTTTGTGAGTGGAATGGGCTGTCTGTGAACAGAGGTGGGGTCAGCCATGAGGGATAATGATTCCTCGGGCTCAGAGAGGTTGGGCCATCTGGTTGAGGTTGTACAATGTGTGGATGGTGGAGTCAGCAGCCAGAGGCACCAGAAGGAGAGAGTCCATTGATCCTATGGTTGAAGGCTTAGGGAAGGCTTCCTGGAAGAGGAGGGCTCGGTACTTGGTCTGCAGCCTCAGGAACCAGAACCCTGTGCCACGGCTACGTGTCTCTCTTCTCCTCCCACAGAGACAAGCTGGCGGAGCTCCACGGAAACATGTTTGTAGAAGAGTGTGTCAAGTGTAAGACGTGAGTGCCATGGGGGTGGGGGGAGTTAGGGTTAGAATGGGCCGGCCCCATTCTCTGTCACCTCCCAGGTCAGGCTCTGCGTGAGGGCCTTATGCGTCTCCTCAGACATGGCCAGAGACCCAGGCTGGGGTGGGGGCTGGGGGCTTGTGTTCCTCCTGGGGAAGCAAGTTCCCCTCCTGCGCTGCACTAACGACGACCACAAGCTGAACAGCTCAAAACAGAAATGTGTCATTGCGGCCTGGAAGCTGGAAGTCCGAGATCAGTTGTTGGCAGGGCAGGGCTCCCACTGAACCCTGCAGGGGGGACTCCTTCCTGCCCCTTTGCGTCTTCTGGAGGTTTCTCACAGTCCTTGGTGCTCCTCGGCTTGTCTTCCCCTCACGCCACCCTCCGCCTGGTTCATAAGGACACCAGTCCTATGAGATGAGCGCCAGCCTCCCCTGTGTGATCTCATCTTAACTTGTCATATCTGCAACGATCCTATTTCCAAATGCGGTCACACTTTAAAGTATTGGGGGCTGGGACTCCAACATATCTTTTTGAGGGGACACAATTCAGCCCATAACGGAGTGTGACAGAGATGTGTCGGCCTGCTCTGGGAAGGCTGAGCCAGAGCCCTTCCCGAAGCCGGGGCTCTCTGCTTGTGTCTCCTTGAGCTGGCTGAGCAGCCCTCCAGGTGGGGCCCCCAAGTAAAAAAAAAAAAAGTGTCCCCCCAAATTTATTTTGAAAAATTTGAAATCTACAGAAAACTCATAAGAATTGTTGGATGAACCCGAACTTTGCCTAGGCCAGAGCTCAGCAAGCTTTTTCTGTAGAGGGCCAGATAGTAGAACGTTTTCAGCTTTGTGGCCCTGACAGTCTCCGTCAGGATGTGACGTGAAAGTTGCCATAGACGACACAGGAAGGAATGGGCGTGGCTGTGTGCCAATAAAACTTTATTCACAAAGACAGGAGGCTGAGGGCCAGATTTGATCCTCGGGGCCATAGTTTGCTGATCTCAACATGGATGTGACAATCTTTCGTTCCTATTTTGTTAGTCCTTGCTGTCCTGTTGAGGCGTAAGTGTGTCCACCGCCCCAGGCCCACAGGACATGCGTCTCCCTCGGCCACAGCACATTCGTAGTAAAGGCCGGGATGTGGAAGACCGTGTAGATCGTCCAGGCCCTCACCTGGCTTCCCAGTGCTCCCGTGCCTTCTATTTTTGTCCCAGTCCACGATGCAACCTGGGGTCACGCTTTGCCTGTCATTGTCCGGTCTCTCTAGTCTCCTGGGTTTGGAATACTTCCCAGCCTTTCTGTTTCCATGACCCTGGCATTGGGGTGCAACCAGGCCAGCTGTGTTGTGGAAGCCCCCCACTTCCCTGGGAGAACAGCTCCCCCAAAAGAGCAAGAGCCGCCCAGCTCAGGCTGCAGGGGAGCAAGGGGTGGGCTGACCCAGCCCCACGGGGCCCCCTTCCTCCCCCAACACAGGCAGTATGTCCGGGACACCGTCGTGGGCAGCATGGGCCTCAAGGCCACGGGCCGACTCTGCACTGTGGCCAAGGCGAGGGGGCTTCGGGCCTGCAGGTGAGTGACCTCTCGCTGCGCCTGGAAGCCGGGGGGGTGGTGCATGTCTCCATGTTGATCCCCCCACCCCTCCCCTGCAGGGGGGAGCTGAGAGATACCATCCTGGACTGGGAGGACGCCCTGCCTGACCGGGACCTCGCTCTCGCCGACGAGGCCAGCAGGTCTGACCCTCAGATGAGCCCAGGTCTGGTGGGTGGGGACACAGGCAGAAGCACAGCCAGCTCCGGCCCTGGGCCATCAGGAGAGGCTTCCTGAAAGAGGTGGCTGCCCTGCTCTAGGCCTCACTGTCCTCTAACAGCAGCTACTCATGCTGCACCATGCACATGTTACAGGCAGGGAAACTGAGGCTTCAGCAGGTGGACTGTTGTCCAATGCTACCCCTCTGGGAAGTGGATGAGCCGGGATAGAACCCAAGTCCCAAGCATTGAAAGTCCTGCCCACGTCAAGAACCCTGCTTCTGCCAGCGGGGTGGGGAGGTGGCTCAGGCGGAAGGGAAGCGGCAGGGGCAGGACTCAGGGCAGCTCGGAAGCTGGCCCAGGCTGTGGGCGGCCCTTGAGAGCAGAGGGTGTGGAGTGAGCTGATTTCCCAGGGCCGGGCGTGTTGTGGGAGCACAAGGTGGGCGGTGAGGCCGTGGGGCTTGAGCCAGGAGGGGTTGGAGGTCTCCCAGCCTTGTGGGGCAGAAGGAGGGCTGCAGAGACCCTTGTGCAGGGCTGGAAGGGGCTCCATCTGACTCTGCCTTCCCGTCCCAGGAACGCAGACCTGTCCATCACACTGGGCACCTCGCTGCAAATCCGGCCCAGCGGGAACCTGCCCCTCGCCACCAAGCGCCGAGGAGGCCGACTGGTCATTGTCAACCTTCAGCCCACAAAGCATGTACGTTCTGAGCCCACCCTGACATGCTCCCTGCCCCAGCCTCCCTCCCCGCCGACCTCTGCCTCAGCCTGGCCTGTCTTTGCCCCCGCAGGACCGCCACGCTGACCTGCGTATCCATGGCTATGTGGATGAGGTCATGAGCAGGCTCATGAAGCACCTGGGCCTGGAGATCCCCGCCTGGGACGGCCCCCGCGTGCTGGAGAGGGCGCTCCCCCCGCTGCCCCGCCCGCCCGCCCCCAAGCTGGAGCCCAAAGAGGAGGCCCCCACCCAGCTCAACGGCCCAGCACCCGCCAGCTCCAAGCCGGAGCCCTCAGCAGAGCCCTGCACCCAGCACAATGGCTCCGGGCCCGCCAGCCCCAAGAGGGAGCATCTGGACAGTCCTGCACCGCACAGGCCCCCCAAAAGGGTGAAGCCCGAGGTGGCCCCCAGCTGACCCGGGGGCCCGGGGAGGGTGGGGCTTTTGATAGAAACCATGGATTCATCTTTTCTTACTGGTCTCACTTTGTTACTTGTACCTGCCCATGGGGGTGGGGGGCGACCTCAGGGTGCTGATGGCTGGGCTCCAGGCCCCAGGGCAGGCTCACCCTCCACTGCCTCTCTCTGTAGCTCTAGGGGCCTCTGGTGTGGGCCTGGGGAGGAGCATTTTCACCCTGGACACAGACCTTGGATCTGACACCCCAGGCACCTGCTCCTCCTGGGCCCCAGCCCCTGACTCAGGATGTTCTGGGGAGGTGTGGCCAGGCCCTCCCTAGTTCCCAGTATAAACAAGAGCTAACTCTCTCTGCCCCTGGGCCCTCACACTCCCCTTCCCCTGCCCCCCCCCCCAAATCGCCTTCACAGTCCCTCTGGGAGATGGTGGGGGGGGGCAGAATCGCCATTCAGGAGCCAGACTTCATGGTGGCACAGACAATGGGGGTTTACACTGCCTTTGGAGCTAGAGAGAGAAAGAGGTGTGTCCACCTGGCTGCCTCCAGACTTCCAGAGAAGTCTTCAATGCAATAAAAGCAGAAATTCTTGCATCTGAGTCTGTGTTTGACATTCATAATCTTGTGCCAGGTCCTAGTCCTGACAGGACTGCATGGTCCCCTTGCCCCTGTGGACCCTGCCTGGGCCTCTCTGCAAACCAGGCCCGGGGGTGAAGGAGGAGGGGCAGTACCACACCTGGCATTCCTGGAGCCCTCCGTGTGTGATGATGTGCCTGTGTGTGTGGTTTCTAAATATTTGCCCTCCACTACTAGGCTGTGAGCACCTTGAGGCTAGAGGCCGTGGCCCTTGGTCTGGTTCAAAGCCCTTGGCACCTGCTCAGAGCAGGTGGAGAGTCACCACACATTAGGAGAGCACAGGCACAGCTGGGTTCCAGCCAGGTCCCTTCACTTCCCATGCCTCAGTCTCCCCATCCGGAAAACAAGCAGGGTGGGCTGTGCAGCCCCCAGGAAGGCAGGTCCCCAGAGCTTCCATGGACACCCTGAAGGGCTCCCTGGGGCCCCCAGACGCCTTGCGGTCCAGGCCCAGGTGTTCTCTGCGAGCTGCTCGCGGCTGCTCTCCAAGGTGCTGAAGGCACCCCTGGGGCCTGGCAGGCCGCCTCCCCATCCCAGGCTGGCCCAGCCCCTTCTTTCAGGAGTTGAGGAGCCTGAGACTCTGCTTCAGCTCCCACCCTAATGCCGCTTTGTGCCAGCCGTGTTCTGTCAAAATATTAAGAAAAAAAATACTTTATTAAGGATCTCTGTGATCTTAGAAAAGAGGGTGGCTGTGGGCCAGGGTCCCCACAGACTCAGCTGGTTTCTCTTCCCTGTGTGCAGGAGGCAGGGAAGAGTCCAGGGGCAGGGGAGCTGCTGAGGCATGGGGTGTGTCTGTGTGTGTGTCTGTCTGTCTGTCTGGGTCTGTGGATCACTCTGTATGTGTCTGCCTGTTCCTTTGCCTGGATCTGTGTATTTCTCAGGCTTCGTGGCCCTGTGGTTGCCCTGTGAGCGTGTTCTGTGTGTATCTGGGTCCATGCGTTTGCGCGACTCCACCCTGGCTCTTCCGCCGGGTCTCACCTCTCACCCCCATGCCCATTGTCGCTGTCCACAGAAGGCCCCTAAGCCCAGGGGCCTGGGGGCACATTGGGATGGTGCTCACAGCTCCTCCCCTGCTGCCTCCAATCCCACCCACCCAGAGCTGAGTGCTGGCTCAGGCCCAGTCCAGCCCAGCAGGGTGGCCCCGTTCAGCTTCTCCTTTGAGTTGTCCGGGACGAGTGTCGAGTTGTCCCGGGTGAGTGTCGAGTTGTCCGGGACCAGTGTGGAGTTGTCTGGGATCAGAGTCGAGTTGTCCAGCCCCTTCATCAAGTTGTCCAGAGCCGACATGCCCCGAGATTCCCAGTCCACCGTGGGGCTGCCTGGAGACCCTTCCCGGGATGTGCCATCCTCGGGCCGTGGTCCTGGGCCCTCGGAGCCTGGTATGTCGTCGGGGGCCACGCGGGATGCAGCGTCGTTGTGCAAAGTTCTGGAGAAAACTGAACAAGGGTTGGGAGGATCATAAGGGATGGGGTGGGGGACTGGTGTCCCTCCGTTCCCTAGCCCCAGCCTCAAGGAGTAGCGAGCAGGCAAGGGGATCCCCTCCACATCCCCCAGAGGCCCAGTATAGAGACTTGGGGAAACAAGGGGATTGTGCCCATGGTGCAGCCCGGAGGGGTTTTGAGGACAGAGTGTCCCTAGCCCACCCACCTCGAACAGGTGCGTAGTCTCCGGCGTTCTCGGCTTTGTTGGCGACGAAAGGGCTAATGGAGGGCAGGACGATGAGGGCAAAGGAGAGCAGCAGGACCTGGCAGAGATGGGGGAGGTCACCCCATCCCTCCCCCCACCCTGTGAGCAAAGACACTGAGGCCCAGAAGATGGGATCGTGCTTGAATTGGGGCTCAGGCTGTGCTCAGCTCCCCACACAGGCTCCCTTTGCCAAAGCTGAGGACCCCCTTTTTCCTGGGGACCAGGACTTACCGCTATGCAGGTGCCCGTCTGGGCCGACTTGCTGGTGGACTGGACCACAATGGCCTGGAGTTTCTTCAGCTGCTCCAAGAGGGACCTTAGTGGGAATGGGGGGGGCCTTGGCTCAGCCCCATGGGGCTGTGATCTGACTCCCATCCATTTCTGGGATCTCCCAGCCTGCCTGATGTCTGAACCCCATTCATCCCTCACGGCCCCACTGGTCTTTAGAATCCCAGACTCTCCCTCTTTGCTTCAGTAAATCTCCCTGAACATCCCAGCCCCTTGCACCCACTCACTTCTCTGCCACCCCACCTCCCTGATCCAGGCCACCATCATCTATCACCAAAATGCCAGCCCCAGCCTCTACTCTGGCCCCCCTAAGGCCCCTCCTGCCCCCCTAGGGTTAATGCTCCAAGCAGTAGCCAGATGGCACTTTTCAAATGTAAGGGGGCTTCTCTCCATCCTCCCAGGGCTCCCACCCCCCTGGGGTAAAAGCCCAAGTCCTCCCCATGGCCCCCAAGGCTCTGCACGACCTGCCCCATCCCCTCCCTGCCCTCCCCTCCTCCCTCTCTCCCCCTCACCCACTCTGCTCCAGCCACAAGGGCTCACGTGCTCTTTCTGCTACATGCCAGACCTGGTCCTGCCCCAGGACCTTTGCACAAGCTGGCTCCCTCTGTACCAAGGACACTATTCCCCCAGGTCTTCTTGTAGCTGGTTCTTTCTCATCCATCAGGTCTTATCTCAAAGGTCACCTTATCTGACCTCCCTGCTCAGAATAGCCCCCACTTGCTCTCCAGGCCTTCATCCTGCTTCGCTCTTACCCTCAGTGACAATCATTATTTGAAAACAATCATATATTTTCATTTGTCTTGAGTATGTCTCCCACTAGACCATGAGTTCTCTAAGTTGGGAGACTGTCTGTTTGTTTACTGTTGTGGTTCCAGTGCCCAGAACAATGCCTGGCACAGACGAGGTACTAAATATATGTTGAGTAGATGCATCTCTTAGATGGAACACATGCAGTCCTCCAGCATGCTGTGTTTCTAGCCTCTGGCCATTCGTGTGTCATTTCCTCCACCGGAAATACCTGTCCCCAAGTCCAAGTGCCCTCCTCAATGCAGCCTGCCCCCTTTCTAGGTGGAGCCCTTACCCCCTGCTCTGCTTTGCCCTCACAGAGGCTGTTCTCCACATTGTCCACCTCTCCTGCAAGGGACTCTGGGGGCCAGCTACCCCCGTCCTCTGCCACAGCTAGACCAAGACTCACAGGTTCTGCTTCTCGAGATGCAAGACCTTCCTCTGAAGCTCCTGGTTCTGGGCAGTGCAGGCTGACATCCTGTAGGGACAATGTCACAGCAACATTCTGAATATGCCTGTCACCACCTGGCCCAGCTGACCTCTCCCTGTCAGGCCCCACTTGAAAGGCAGGGAACCTGAGGTTAGAGATGGGATGTCACTCATCCAAATTCACCTGGCGAGTTTGTGGACAGGGCCAGGATTTGAACCCAGGTCTGCCTGGCTCCTAGATCCCACGTCTGCATTGGTGTGGGGGTTTCACTCCAGTCTGTGCCCCGAGGACTGGGAATGGAATGCCCAACTTGGGCAGTGATGCTTCCAGAAGACCAAGGAGTGGGATGACTGGGAGTCTAAGGAGAACCAAGTTACAATCCTCACCCTCCCCGTGAGCTCAAGCCACTCTACTCTCTGACCTCAGTCCCCTCACCTGTAAAATGGGGCAACAATTACCTAGTTCACAGAGTGTTCGGGAGAATGACATGAAATAAAGTTGATTAGGGACTTTGTAGATTGCATCTGAGGAACATGACAATGGTGATCCATCCATCTAGGGATCCCAGATCCAGGTTGGGGCCCCACCTTTCCCACCTGCATCCATCTGTGATCGTGGTGTTGGCCCAGACCACTCAGATGTGGAATTGAAATTCTCAAATCCCAGCATGTGGATATGTTGGTCTTCACATTGCATCCAGGGAAAGGAATAAGCCCCCCCCACACACACACTGAAAGGCCTTCTTCTAAATAACTCATGGGATAGAAAAGAATCCATGATGTAGATTAAAGAAGACCCAAGAACCCAGTGGTAATGTCACTGGTGCAAATCACAATGTGTGAGGGGCAGCTAACACAGGGCCGGGAGGGACAGACCTTTACCAGCCTTTATACAGCTCAACAAGCTGAATGCACACGTGCTGAAAGTTAGCAAAAGGACAACAGAACAAACTCCCTCCAAAATAAAGCATCAAGGAAGAACATACATACTAAAGCTAAGAGCAATAAGACTGATGAATCACTGAACTCTACCTCTGAAACTAATAATACACTATATGTTAATTAATTGAATTTAAATAAATTAAAAATAATAATAAAGATAAGAGCAGAAGTGGAAGAACTAGAATACAAAACTAGAGGTGGGTGGGAGGAAAAGCCAGAAAGCCATTCTCTGGCAAGAATAAGTAAATAAATAAGTCTCTGACAAGATGAATCAAGAAGATGAAGGAGAAAAGGCACAAATGAACAGCATGAATTTATTAAAATGGGTATGACTGCCAACAACGTAGAGCTTAGCAAAATAATAAGACAACTATGAACCATTTTATGGTGATACATTTGTAACGGGCAACTTCCCAGAAATGTATGACATCCCAAAACTGACTTGGGAAGACAGAACACCCAAATAAAACTATAATACTCCATCAAGTCAGTCCCAGGTTAGGAAGTGAGCATGCTCACCTGTTATGTTTCTGTTAAAGAAGAAAGAGGAGCCTGTCCCCTTACATGAGTTAAGAGAGAGGTGATTGGATGAAACTGGGGTCACAGTTTTTCAGTTGGGGAATTTCTGCCAGGAATGATGTCCCCTCTGTCCTTCCCAACACACACACTCAAGGAAGCCGAGGACCAGGGATGCTCAGACTGGGGGAGTAAGCACCCCATCTTCAGGCAGAGAGCCAGAATAAGATGGGTCATACATTCTCCCTTGTTGGTGCCACATATTCTAGGGGTAAAGGGACCTCGAGACTGAGCCCTCTGCCATCTCTAGGCATCTTTCCATCCTTGCAATTAATTCACATGAAAAATAACCTCTCCCTCTCCCCAGAGTGGGAAAAAAAACCCTCTCATTTTGTCAGGCCCCCCCAAACTGTGACCCTAGTCACATTGCACCCCTCTCCCTGGGCCTCTGTTCCCCTCCCCCACCCCAAGTGTGGCATCCCAGGCCCCCAGCCTTACCGAGTTTCCAGGCCATCAATATATTCCTTCTTCTTTTTCCGGCTTTCTTGGGCCGACTGTTTGTTCCGGATTTTCCGGCGGATTTTTTTCAGCACTCGCTCCTCGTACTGCACAGTGACATGAGGAGGAGAGTCCACTCCATTGTCAGGACCCATGCTCTCTTCCCATGGGAGCCCCCGCCCCAGACCCAGGGACCTGGGGGAAGACTCCAAGTGACTCCCTCTAAATTCTTGCAGTCTCGAGGCGGGAAGGGGGGGTGTCCTGGGTCCGGATGATCTTCCCAGACCCCATCCCAGTTAGGAACTGGCTACCAGACTTTGCGCATTGGTGCGATGGCGCCACCTTCCGGCCACGCCTGGGAACAGCGCCTTTCCCAGGGCCGGCTGGTACCGAGACGAAGCAGTGGGAATGGCAAACCTAGGTCTTGAGCCGAGTGAAATAGGCTTGGGGGTCTGGGGGCAGCTGCGGCGAGCTGGTTGCATATGGCGGTGTGGGAGTAGGGGGGCCACAGTCACGGAATTCTTGCGTGAAAACTCCCGGCCAGAGAAATGTTAGCAACCAATTCAAACATTCATAAAATGCAGCACAGCCCAGTCGAAGCCTGTCTGCAGGGGTACCTGGCCTGCGGGTCACCCCTTTTGTGAGCTCTGGCCTGCAAGGGGCTATGATAAAGCGTGAAAGCCTCGAGGAAGCCTCCCAGCGCCCGAACCGCCGCCGCCTGGAAGCCCACCCTTGGTTCCTGGATGTCAAGCCCTGCCCACAGAGTTGGCCTTTAGGATGCATTTCCCGGCTCCAGCGACAGATGCGTCATGACATTCTAGCGCAGGAGGCCCACAAGGTGAGATCCTGGGCAGGTAGCTGCAGGAAAGGGGGCGGGGGCCCGGAGCCCCGGCTCACCTTGGTGAGGGGCAGCTGGGTGGGCAGAGTGAGGCCTTCTTTGGCCAGAAGCTTCTTCTCATCCTCTGTCAGCACCAGCTCCTGGCAGTGCTCAGCCCCGGCGCGCAGCAGGTGGGGGGCTGCCACTTGATGCTGTTGCTGTGGGAAAAATCAGGACATGGCGCTGGGGGCAGGGAAACCGACCCCCTTCAGGAAATGGAAGAGGCACCAGATTTGAGAAACTATCGATTCGTCTGCTGTCAGGTCCGCATGGGTGCTGGGGCTCAGGAGAGCCAGCACCAGCCCTCTGAGCCGGGAACTGATCCTACGGTAACCTCATGCGTGGACAAAAGGGCAGAGGCACAGGCTTTTCAGCTGCTTAACAAATAGTCACTTGGCAACTATGTGTTTAGCACCTATTAGGTATCAGGCACTGTTCTGGGCTCTGAAATTCACTGCAGTGCTGTCCGTAATAGCAAAGGGCTGGACACAGTGGGGATATCCAACAAATAGGGGATAGATTAAAAAAGGCATCACCCGGGTATGCAGGGTGGGGGGTACTACACGGTGGTGAAAAAGGACGGGGCTCCCCCGTATCATGATATAAAGCAATCACCACGATAAACTCTCAAGTTAAAAAATAAAGGGGCAAAAACATGTTAAGGGTGGGATGCTACTTATTATGTCAAACTTAAAAAAAGAAGAAGAAGGAATCCCTTTGGGAGGAGTCCTTGGCACCTCTGTGGGAAGGGAGGTATCTGGCAACATAGGGTGAGGGAGAAGATCCCCCCCCATGCCTGTGTGTGCCTTTGGAACTCAGGCTATATGGATGCATTTGTCTGTTTTTAAAAAAAAGTGTTTAATTAAATTTAAATTATGAAAGATAAACATTAGAAATGTCACCCGAGTGTCAAAGTCTTAAAAATGTCACCCTGTGGAATGACAGACCCCAGAATAAAGGTGCAGATTGGGACAGTCTGTCAATCCTGTGGATCAATCCCCACTACCCAGAATTCTAGGCCATTAATCAGCCCAACTGGTTCCTCATCTGTGAAATGGAGGCACTAATTGGGTCGTCAGGTCTGGTTATGGGTACTCAAAGCCCTTGGAAAGACAGATGGCCCTGGGTCAGTGTGCAGTGACCCAATAGGCCAGCCCAGAGATCGAGCCAGCAGCCGCTGTGTGACTTATGGCAAATTGCTGACCCTCTCTGTGCCCATTTCCTCAAGGGTGAAATTAATGTAACAAGAGCCCCAATCTTTTGCATTACTGTGAATTAAAAGATGATACATTGAAAGCATTTAGAAGAATGCTTGGTTTTAGCTTTTTTTTTTTTTTTAATTATTATTACTACTGGAAAGTGCCCTACCCTGTGTGTGACTCAGCCTTCCGATATCTGAAATGGAGGTGCTGGGGCCCCATGAAGCCCTCCGAGCCCCAGTGCTCTGAGGGGTGGGGTCAGGGCTGCTCACCAGGTCGGTGGCCCCGCTGCCGGAGAGAAGAAGATCTTTCACTGTGAGGTTGCAGGATGGAGGCTGGTCCATCAACTCAACCTGCTCCTCGGAACACAGGCCCGGGCTCCACATTTCTGACGAGGGCAGATGGGGACAAAGACAGGGAAAAGTCAGGTGGGGGCCCCTGAGCTCCCAGCTTCTACCTGCCGCCTCCAGAAAGGCTCCCAGGATTGACCACAATGTGCTAGGGATTTGGGGCACAGCTTGGGGCCCCAAGGCCTGGGTTGAAGGCGACAGCCCCAACTGGTGCCTCTGTCTTCTCGCTGAGGGAAATTGGGAACCCGATTCATCAGGACGCTGCTGAGGGACCCACTGCCAACCCAGGAGGAGCGGCAGTTATAGCCCAGGATTATAGACAAGATCTCCAGCCAGAGCGGCCTTATCTCCCCCTGGGGGCAGGGAGCAGGTCTAATTCACCTCAGGTTCCCTCTCACCTGGCACCTATAGGCAGGCTGCTCTCCAGAACACAGACTTCGGGGTTACACAGCTCTTGGTTTCTATCCTGACTGGGCAGAGCTGTGTGACCTTGGTTAAGTGACTAAACCTCTCTGAGCCTCACTTTTGTCAACTCTCCAATGAATCTAATAAGAGCTCCCACCTCGTTGCAAGGCTCAAGGGGCAAAGGACGCCCTGCTGGGGGGGAGGTGTCTTCTGCATAAGGTTAGTTTCCCCCAGATCCAGGAGGAGCGTCCCGAGGCCCAGGGTCCCATGACCTCACACACTTTGACTGAGCATCTCTATGATCCAGGCATGGGAGGTTCAAAGATGAGGCTGACAGCGTGGCATCTGGGGCGGGAACCAGCCTGCCAGGGTTACAGCCCAGCTCAGTGGCTCTGACTCATTCCTAAACCTCACGGGGACTCCATTTCACCATCTGGGGAATGGGCCCATGACAGCATCTGTTTCAAAGGGCCGGTGTGTGTGCACAGTGCCTGGAACGAGGAGAGGGCGGTGAACAAAGATGCAGAACCCACCCAGGTCTATGGCCACAGAGGTCTCCAGCACTTGGGCCACTGGTCCCGGGGGACTGGCAAGGCAGGGGAGTCCAGGATGGTAGGAGGGGCAGAGCCCCTCTCCTGACTCCATGGTATGGCAGCTGGTGGGGGTGGCGGCCGCCCCACTGCGTGGAGGGGTGTCCGGGAGGTCAGAGGGCAGGTCTTCAGAGATGCCACTGTCACTGGCTGCAGGGGACCAGATCGGGGAGCTGGGCACCGAGTCTCCAGAAGTCAGGATGGAGTTTAGGAAATCATCAGAGTCTGGGCCTGGCAGGACCTGCTGGGACAGAGAGAGACGGGGTGGGAGATGAAAGCGCTGGGCTTTATTCTGGATTGCTGTGTGACTCCGAGCAAGCCACTGATCCTCTCTGGGCCTCACTTGTCCTCTCTGCAAGACAGTCCTCCCGGGGTTGTTGGAGCCTGAACACAATCGGGCAGCATGGGTACACCCCCCAAGGCACAAGCCCCGAGTTTGAGCTTGAACTCAACCCCAAAGTGCTGTGTGACCCTGGACAAGTTACTGCTCCTCTCTGGGCCTCGGTTTCCTCACCTCTAAGAAGAAGCTAATGTCACCTACCCCTTAGGGTAGCTGAGAGGTTCGACACAATGCTGTGCTTTGCTAAAATTGAGTTCTGTGAGCCCTAAGTGCTGCAGTACATGGAGTGAGGCTCTGGCTCTGTGGCCTGGCATGTCCTCACCTGGTCCTCGGCGTGGTCCCAGCCCTCACCCAGCTCCACGTGTCTCAGGATGCCGTCCTGCTGATCAAACAGGAGATCCAGGAGCTCCAGGCTGCCAATGGGGTCCATGGGACCGGTGGAGGAAGCCATCTGGGGCAAGGAGGGGACAAGCATGAGGGTCACACAGCCCCCTCTCCTCCCACCGCCCATCTGCACGCCACCCCAAGGTCCATGAGGCTCAAACTCAACCACCGCTCAGCCCCCAGGCCGGCCCACCCTGCCCCTGGAGCTTCCATCTCCAGATGGGCTGTGGAGCTGACACAGGCCCTCCCAGGGCATGTGAACCAATTCCTTTAAAAGCGCTAGACAGGTGCATGTATGGGGGTGAGCAGCCTTGTCAACTCCTATGAGGCTGATGAAACCAGCCCCCTCTTACCCTCCCGTCCTGCCCGAGTGCCCCCCTCCTGGAGGAAAGACAAGAGCAGCCCCAGGACGGAGGCACGAGTTTGGGCATTCCGTGTTCTCTCTGGGCCTCAGTTTTCCCATCTGCAATGGGGTGTGTGTGTGAGGCTCCTTCCAACTCTGGGAGCTTGGGGAGGGTTTCCTGGCCTCGACCCTCCCTCCCTCCCCCATGGATCTGGACAGGGCTCACCTTTCCAGCTGCTAAATCCCCATTCATGAGGCCAGCCAGCTCTGCCTCCCACCGCTTTCCGAGTCTGCTCTGAGCTGGAGCCTCACCCCACCACCAGGACTCCCAGGCTCTGCTCTGCTCCTCGTTCCGGCTCTGTAACCACCCCCAAAAGATGCTGAAATAGTATAGGGAGCTCCCAGCCCATCCCTGGGTGCTGATTGGGGGAGAGGCAAGATGGACAGGGTTAAGGGCCAGTGACACCAGGGCAGGCTGGGGGAAGGGAGGGAAGACCGTTATCTTGATGTTTTGTGCTTTTCTAGACGGCAGTGGGCAAAGGCCAAAGTCTGGGGTGCCTCAGCTCTGCCATGACCTCTCCCCTACTTTCAGGGACTGTTTCTCTTCTGAGTCCCAGGTTGTGGGTCTCCAGGAGAGCCCAGGGCCCCTGGCTGTGGGTCCTGTCCACTCCCAGGACAGAACAGAACCAAGAGGAACAGCCCAGGCCTTTGCTGGAGCCATTCCCTCTGCCAGAAGCTCCCTTCCCTCAGGACCTAGTAGCCTCCTACCCACCCTCCAAGCCTTCCCCGGCCAAACCTAAGCAGCAATCAGTTCCTTCTAGAATCTTCTATTGTTCATTTATGCCTTGAATACTGATTGAGCCAAACTTGGTCCCAACCACAGGGCCTTTGCACTTGCTGTTCTGCCTGCCAGGAAATGCCCTCTCTCCCACCTCTGACTCTGTCACTGTCTTTGTATATTCAGCCCAGATGGCTAAGAGGCTATGGGTGACCACCCCCTTCCCCGGAGCCCAGCCCCATAGCTCTTTGTGACATCACTGTGTTCAGGAACCCCCTCACCGTTTGGCATTGTCTTCTGCCTTTACCTGTTTTTATGTCTTCCCTAATTTCTCTCCTCCCCACCCCCAGGGCCTTACAGGCTAGAATGGAGTTTCCTTTGTTCTCTGCTGGGTCCCCAGTATCTAGGAAGTGCCTGCACATGGCAGAGGTGCTCAATCAATGCTTACTCATCAAGCTCACCACTGTTTTAGGGATAAAGCACTGAACAAGCTAGACCATAAATAAATAAATAAATCAGGAAAATGATAAACAAGTAAGTGCTACCAAGAAACTGCATATAACCACAAGGAAAGGCAACCAAAGGCTGGAAAAGCCTCCTTGAAGAAGGTGACCTTTTTTTTTTTTTTTAAGTAAACTTTATACCCAATGTGGGGCTTGAACTCAGAACCCCAAGATCAAGAGCTATATGTTCTACCCACTGAGCCAGCCAGGTACCCCTTAAGAAGGTGACATTTAAGTACAGTCCTGAATGACGAGAAAGAGCCAGCCATGGAAAGATCTGGGGGAAGTGTGTTTCAGGCTGAAGAAACAGCACATGCAAATGTCCTGTGATCAGGACTTGGTCTAGTGTGTTGGAGGAACATTGAGGAGGCCCCTGTGGCTGGAGCAGAGAGAGGGGGTGGAGAGAGGGAGAAGGAAGGGCAGGCAGGGGACGGGGCAGGTCATTCAGGGTCTTGGCGGGGGGTGGGCAGGCAAGGAGTTTGGTTTATACTAAATACAGCAGGAAGCTGTTGGGAGCTTAGCGAGCGGAGGAGAACTGAACCCAGACTTCCGTGTGTCGCGTACGATGCTGGGCTCCAGGCTCACAGCGGGTCAGGAAAACACCCTCCCTGTGCTTAAGAAATTCCCATCCCAGTGTGTTTTTCTCAATGGACCCGTCACCATTCACGTAACAGACATTTAATGAAAGCCCACGACATGCCACGTCTGGTGCTGTACTTACTTGTATCTGATGGGGACACACAAGACAGCGGCTGCGCCCCAGGGGACCCTGGACCACGTCTGGGAGCCGTCTGTGACTGTCGGACTGGGGGGGCTCCCGGCAGGGAGGGGGTGGGGCCGGGGATGCTGCTCAGCGCCCCCAGTGCCCCGGGGCGCCCCCGCCCCCGAGAGCGATCCAGCCGGGGGGGGGGGTCCCTGTCCTCTCTCACCCTTAGCCTCCCCCCACCCCGATCTCCCTCGCTTCCTCTGTGACCACCCTGTGTTGGATCTTTAGGGGCTTTGCTCGGCTTGGCTTGGCTTTCGTGATCCCAGCCACAATATTCATTCAGCCTTTGCTGTAGAGGCTCTTTTCCGGGGCAGGCAAGGCAGGTGTGGGAAGTAGGTGAGATTTGACTTTTGGTTTCTCCCTGCCTCTGCCTCCCCCCTCATTGCTGACCCCCAGGAGCCCCGGTGCCCTTCAGACAGAGCTCTCCCTCTTCCTCGTACCCAAACCTGCCAGAGGAAAGAGTCTGCCTTCGCTCGCTCACCCCTTCCTGTAGATTTAGACCCCCTAGTGCCCTTCCCCAAGATCTTTGTATTTAAAATTTTTTATGTATAACAATGGACTTTAGAAGGCATTTATATGCCCCAGTGAAGAGATATCTGAACAAGTCCGATAAGGATAAGCAGTGAGGGACAGGAGGACTTTTTGATGCCCTTGACATCATATGATCTCGTTTATGGAACAGGAATGTGTACGTTAAGGCAACGCTAAGCTGGAATGCAAAGTAACATTCCCACAGTAGCTTCCACCAACATGTGTAAGTGTGAAACACAGCACAGGAGATGCTCCAGCCAAACAAGTTAAGGAACGCCGCATTAAGAAGCAGCTCTGCGGCACAGACCAGAGCCCTTACAATGCGCTGCTGTGTTTTTAGAGTGGACAGAGTTTGTAGCATTTCCCAAACATAATCGTGTCAGCGTGGGTTTTGTTTTTCATTTTTACGTGGTTGGTTCTGAACCATTACCGACAGGTGAAAATGTTAACGATACCCACCAGAACAACTAAAGTAAAACATATGAAACAGATGGACATCAGATACTGGTGGAAAATAAGGAGCCACCAGAACTCTTCCGTTGTTGGTGGGAATCAAAATGTTCTACCCCGTTTGGGAAATTGGGTAGTCTCTTATAAAGTTGGACATGCATTTACCATATGATGGTACCACACTGTATGATTCCATTTATATGAAATCCGGAGAATAGACAAAGTAATCTTTGGGGATAGAGGGTGGTTGCCTATGGTAGAGTGGGGAGCTGAGTGGACAGAGGCTTGAAGAGACTTTTTAGGGTGGGGAAAATATGCTAGATCTTATTTTTATTTTTTTAAAGATGTTTTATTTATTTATCTGAGAGAGTGAGCGAGAGAGAGAGAGTGGGGAGGAGCAGGGGCAGAGGGAGAAGAAGACTCCCCTGCGGAGCAGGGAGCCCGATGCGGGGCTCGATCCCAGGACCCTGGGATCATGACCTGAGCCGAAGGCATACACTTAACCCACTGAACCACCCAGGCGCCCCTAGAACTTATTTTTAGTGGTGGTTACATGAGTGTATAGAATTGTCAAAACTCGTCAAATTGAACACACCTAAGACCTGCGCATTATTACTGTAAACTAATTCTACTTCAGTAAAAACTGTACAAAATATAAAATGAACAATGACAGAAAACACTTAGCAAAACATTAGAAACAACAAAATAGCCATCAGTAGGGGATTGGTTAATAGAGTTTGGTGTATTCCCGTAACGGAATGTTATATGGCTTTGAAAATGAATGACGATTGTTTGTATGTACCGATATGGGGCAATATTTATTTTTTTAAAGTAGGCTCTACCCCCAGCAGGGGGCCCCACATGGGGCTCGAACTCACTACCCTGAGATCAAGACCTGAGCTGAAGTTAAGAGTCAGACACTTAACCAACTGAGCCACCCAGGCGCCCCAGACATGGGGGCATGGAGGAACTGCTTCCTGGATCTTTACTGACTGGAGATTACATACTGTACCAGATTCTAGCTCAGACACGTGGCAGTTAGAAGTCAGAAAAGACTGGGAAAAACTCAGATGAGAGAGTTCTTGAAATTGAGAAAATGCTACCACTTCCTGTACAGCCTGAGGACAGGTCCATAGGAGGCAGTATGATTCAGTAGTGAAGAACTCAGGGTTCAGAGCCAGATGGACCAGTGCATGAACTCTACCTTCACTCCTCACAAGTGTTGTGTGAGACCCTAGGGAAGTCATTTCACTCTGCACTTCCTCTTTCCATATCTGTAGAAAGGGTATGCTGGGCATGCTGGGCATGCCAGGCTGCAAGGAATGTAGGTTTGGGGCTGCTGGCCATCATTACCCCACGATGGGAGAATGAAGCCCGCCCAGAACACAGCAGAGCAGACAGAGAGCAATTGATCCCTGACAACATGGTCTGATGTCCTGGATCCAGCCATACCCGAAGTCCAACCCTTGGCTTCAGATGCATGGCAGCAATGTGAGTCAGTGGATTCCCTTTTCAGCTTAAAATTTTCGGTTGATTTTCTGACCTTTCCATGGCGGGGGGTGGGGTTGGGGAGCTAACTATTCACTTTCCCTAATTAAGTCTGTCCACAGAGTTCTTTCCCACTCAAACTGCACACTTGAATATGGCTCATGGCGATTAGCATTAACATATTCTCCTTGGGTGTCTGTTGATCGGTCTCATCTGTCTGCCTTGTCTTTTCACAACTAGAAGGAGCCCCTTGAAGGCAGGTCTTTTCATCTCCCTTGACACTACTCAGGCCATGAGGAGTACTCAGGAATGGCCAGTTCTGATTCTGCCAAAAGGGTTCTTTCCCACCCACATATCTTTGGTTTCTTTCTCCCTATTTTTTGACTGTCAGGGTCCCATTATTGAATCACTGAAAGCATTTAAATTATTTAATCTCGTGACATGCTATTAGCATGAGTTTGCAACCAGAGCCTAATTGTTTAAAATATAATTGTTTAAAATATATGTGTAATATAAATATAATATTATATGATATATGTTATATATGTGTATGTGTATATAATGTATATTATATATATTATATATAAGCTCATATATAATACAAGCCCTCTCAAATGTAAGTGTACAACTTGGTGAATTGTTACATGTATATACCGATCTGTATAAGCAGCCCCCAGAATAAGACAAGAACTTCCCCCTCACTCCAGAAGCTCCTTCCTAGTCATTACCACTGTTCT